AGGCACTATATTAGATTAGTAACTCTACTACTTCTATAAGTAACTTAATAATAGCACTATTAGTAAGTGTAAGCTTAATAGGTAATATCTAAATAACGTTAATATAATTATTCTTAACTTATTTCTAACTAATAAAGTAAGCACTAGCTTCTATATTAATAAGACTAGTGTTAGCCTTTTAGCTTTTAGGTATTTAAAGTTAATACTTAAAGTGTATTTACTTTACTAGATAGAAGCTTTCTAAGCTATTATAGGTAAGAGGTAGTGCTACCTTTAAGACGTAAACTAGTTATAATAGTGTAGTTATCTCTAAACCTAGTACCTTTAGAGTAGCTACTTCTAATTATTTATAGTGCTTAGCTATAAGGTAAGTTCTCTTTAATAATTTACTCTACTTTAGCTCTTAATTATAATTTTGTTTAGAAGTGTCTAAAAACAAGCCTTAGTATAGAGATTAATAAGGTATCTCTCTTTATCTACCTTATTATCGCTGTCTTTAACAAAAGCTTAATAGTTACTATTATAGCTATTATTCTTAGTATTAGCGTTAGCTAGTTTATTAGCTTTATTAAAGTTAGCTTCTATAGCGCTTAGTAATAGGCTCTAAATTTAATTAAAAGAGACTGCCTATATCTTAGAGTAATTAGCGCTCTAGTAAGCTTTATTACTATACTTAAAGTAGGCTTTATTCTTAAAGAGAATATTGCGTTATATATTAGTGTAACTAAACCTAGTAGAGCGCTTTGTTATTTAGGCAGAGCCTTACTTCTACTCTAGTAAATAGTTTCTAGAAGTATAATGTTAGAGCTTATAAGTATTATAATTATTAGAGCGCTTTATAGTTGTTATAGATATAGAATAATAATTAATCTCTTTCTAATCTAAGTCTTAGTCTTATACTTAGTTTAGAAAGATAACTAAGGTCTCTTTATAGAAGAAACTATTAGTAGTAGTAGTAGCTAGACTAGAATAAAGAAATTATTGTACGTAGGTAATTATCTTATAATTAGACTTCTTAAGAATAGTATAAACTTTTATAAATTATTATTTCTAGGCTATAAAAGTCTCTCTATTCTTCTATATAAGAGAGTAATTATAGAGTAATAACTTAGCTTCTATTTTCTTCTTATATAACTTAGTAGCAAAGTATAAGTCTAAGGCTTTTAGAATATTAAGAAAGTTCTTTAAGCTCTTAATATTATAGTAGATAAGATTCTAAGTATTACCTTAAATATAAGATTTTAGGTAAACTAGAGTAGTGTATTTATCTATGTAGGTATTATACTTATAAATAGTAGTATAACACTACTTCTTATAGTCTTCTTTATTATCTTCTTTACTATAGAAGATACTAACGTTAGGTAGATAGAAGGTAATACCTCTACTAGTCTCTTCTACTAAGAACACTACTTATGTATAAAGACTAGTAGCTAGAGTATAGTCTTAGACAGTGTAATTATTATTATTATAATAGTTATTATAGTAATTATTATAGTAGTTATTATAGTAGTTATTATAGTAGTTATTATAGCAGCGCTTAGGCTTATTATAGTAAGATATAGCCTTATAATAAGGTATAGTCTTATACTTAACTATATTCTAGAGATAATTAGAGTTATTATAATAAGTATAGTTAGTAGCATCTTAATAAGTATAGTTAGTGTCTTAGCGTTAATTAGTAGAGTTACAACATAGTTCTTTATAATTAACGTAATTAGTGTAGTTATAATAGAGAATACTATATAGGTAATAGTTTAGCTTATAGGTTTATAGCTTAGTAATAATAGAGTTGTACTTACGCTAAAGAGTATTAAGGTTCTCTTTAACGTTATTATATTTCTTCTAAAAGTTATTATAGTTAGTGTTCTTATTAGCGTAATTAATAAAGTACTAGATAGACTTCTTTTTCTTTTTAGTAATAAGAGTGCGCTAGGTTATAGTAAGTGCGCGTTAGTTCTTTAGTTGCTAGATATATAGATCTATAGCGTCTTTTAGATTACTATAGAGCTTATCTAGCTTATTATAGAGGTTATTAATCTTATCTTTATTATCTAAATTGCGCTCTTTAAAGTTATTAATAGTCTCTAACTATTTATTAAGAGATTTAGCCTACGCTTTATTAGCAGCGCGTAGCTTATTATAGTCTTTAGTAATAGCTTTAAGTTTCTTAGTAAGGTTACTATTATAGGCCTAGGTACCTTAACTATCTTTAGTTTAGTTTTTAGCGCGTTAGAGAAAGCGCTTAAGGTTATAGATATAGTTAAGCTTCTTATTATAGAGATTGCAAGGCATAGTATTAGGTAGAAGTTTAGTCTATTATCTAAGAGTATTATAGTTCTTAATAAGAAGACCTATAGTAGTTATAACGCGTACTACTACTATATAGAACTACTAAGAGTGTTTATTAATAGCTTCTACAAAGTAAGTTTTAGTGTTAATAGTAAAGTAAAAGTAGTTATTAACACTTTAGTCTTTCTTAAGGTCTTAGCCTATTATAATAATAAAGCTTAGGTTATTATCTTTATTCTAGAGATACAAGGTATAGAGTTCTATCTATTAACTATTCTCTAGTAAGACGTAGATAATATCTAAGAAGTTAGAAGTAACAACTTTAATATAGTTCTTCTAGATATCTAATCTAACGTAGATATTTATTAGCTTATTATAAGTTATAGGCTCTTCTAGCTTAGTAGAGCTAGTTACCTTATCTACTTTAGAAGGTAGAGAGTGTAGCTCTAAGAAGCTACTCTAGTAGTAGTTAGATTACCTAATCTTTTCTAGAGTAGAGTTCTAGGCTAAGGTTTATTAGGTATTCTAAGACTAGCTCTAGAAGAGGGCAGCGCTTAGGCAACTAGTTATAGCTAAGAGTAATATAATAGCTAGTTATAGAATATTAGTAATAATAGAATTCTTAAAAGATAATAAGAGCTAAATAGTAAGACTAGAGAATAGGTTATTCTTCTTTAGTAAAGATGTAGTAGGTAGAATATATAACTTATTAGAGCTCTTATACACTATAGTCTTATTTACTTATAGACTTATTATACGTTATAGTACTTAATATATAATATATAGATTTACCTTAACTACTTACTCTAGTTAAAGTAAGCTAATTCTCTACTTATTATGTTATAACTTTAGTAATAAAGCGCAATATTCTATAATAGTTACTTTCTAGTAGCTAAGTGCTCTAATAAAGAGCTTCTAGTAGTATCTATTAGTTACTCTACTTCTATATTCTATATATTCTATAGTAGTTATAAGCTTAAGTAGCGCCTATTAATTATTATAAGTATTAGGTTTACTTCTTAATTTAGATAGCGTTAGCAAGACTATAGACGCTTATACTTAGTTATAATATTATAGTTACTTTAAATAGTAGTAGCAGCTATTATAAGTAAGAGAGAATAGATATCTATATTCTAGGTATAGAGCAACGTAGAATAGTGTAATAGTTAAGTTAAGTAATAATTAAGATTCTACGTATAGGTCTATCTAGATATACGTAGAAGTTTTAAAGTTTCTTATATAGGCTACTTACCTAATATAGAGCTAGGCCTAATTAGGTAGAAGTTATAGGTTTAATTCTTTATATATAGCGTATATAATAGATAGAAAATAAAAATTCTTTATTATCTTTATTAGGTATATAATTATTAGGCTAAGGTATAAGTAGTACTTTATAAAGAAGCCTATATTAGGTAAGTATAGTATACTATTATAAATAACCTAAGTATTATTATAAAGTTTAGACTATAGCTATAAGAGCTTAAAAGTTATTAGTATAGATAGAAAATAGGTAGGTAGGTAGGTAAGAGTAAATATAGATAGTAAGTAGTAGTTACGTAATATAGCTAATATAGCTAAGCTTAGAAATAATTATATATAGAATATAGATTAATTATATAGATATTATATAAGTATCTTAGATTATCTTAGAGGCTTTATACTAGTAGTAGACTTACTAGATTATCTTTTAAAGTTGCGCAATTATATAAAACTAGTATTAGTACTAGTTAATAGTCTAGATAGCTATTAGTAATATATAATAAATATAAAGTAGTTAGCTTATTATAATTATATATATAGTAACTATTATATTAGTAGTAATAGTAGTAGTAGTAGTAGTATAGGTATAAGTATTATAGTAAGTTATAAATCTAAGCTTATATTAGAGATTTTTAAGTTTACTATTAGGTCTAATATAGTAACGCGTTATTACGTAATTATATAATTATATAATTATTTAATTTTAAAAAAAGTACGCTATAGGCTCTATCTCTTAGGCCTAGAGAGGTAGTAGTAACTTTATAATAAGTAATTACTTAAAGTAGAAATATATATTTCTAGTTAATAGCGTCTTTATACTTAGTAATATAGCTAAAATACTCTTTATTAAAAAAGTTAATAAGCTTAAGTAGCTTATATTTATTAAAGCTAGGCTTTAATAGTATTATATACGCGTAAAAGTTATATTAAGTAAGTATTTTAAAGTACTTAAATAAAGATAAGTATAAAAAAATTAATATATAAGTATAGAGATTTTATAATTTTATCTTTTCTAAATATTAGTAGTATATAACTATAATAGTGTACTTTAGTTATTAAGTTAAGATTTTTCTAAGTTTCTATAGTTAAGAAATACTAAAGCCTAAGGCTTACTTCGGACACGTGATATAGTTCTACACTTTTGCCTAGTCGGTTCGCATGTGAACTATTCGTCTCGCGGACGAATCTGTCAGCTCGGCCGAGGGTTGTGGACAAGTTTGTACGATTATGGGTAGCATCTAAACTGGTCCTCGCTGCTGAACTTGCTGCATTCCGACTCGGAATGACTTTTGAGCCTTTGAGCCCATCTGTGGACTCTGATCATATAGAGTCGTGGACCTTTTATCTATACATCAAGTCTAATAACTTTCATCCATCTCGGCGCAAAAACATCGTACACTTGTAGCTGGCGCCTTAACTCCCGTTATACCCGACTTACATCATCCGGCCTGTCAAGCGCCATTGACGGGTTGAACACCCTTTAGCGGTGGAAGCAAGCTCCTTGCGCCTTGTCTCGCCTGCTGGGCTAGTACAGCATCCATGATGACCAATGCAGCCATCATCTCGACAATGGGCACTGCACGAGGCACTACACAAGGATCGTGCCTGCCCTTGGCCTCCAACACTCCTTCCTCTTGGTCGTATGTGACTGTAGACTGCGCCTGTCCAATTGTCGCTGCCGGCTTAAAAGCTACGTTGAAGTAGATGGGCGCGCCGTTGGTGATACCACCCTGGATACCGCCCGAGTTGTTGGTCTTGGTGGTGAGCTTGGGTTTTGAGCGGTACTTGCTTGCATCGGGATTTTCGCCTGCCGGGACAGCAGGAGCTTTGACGAACGCGTCATTGTGAATTGAGCCCGGTAGTTGTGCGCCTCCGAAGCCGGATCCGATTTCAAACCCCTTGGTTGCGGGAATCGACAGCATAGCGTGTCCCAGCTTGGCCTCCAGCTTGTCAAAGCATGGTTCTCCCAAGCCTGTCGGGCAACCTCTTATTACGCAAGTCACAGTGCCACCTATGCTGTCTTGTGCGTCGCGGTACTTGGCGATCAAGTCTTCCATGCGCTTGGTGACATCGTCGCTCGGACACCTGACGGGCAGGTACTCGTCTACCTTATTGCGTGTAATCGAGTCGATTAGCTTGAGATACTCTGGGTTCGTGGATGCGGTGGGATGTTCGGGTGTAGGAGGGAAGAGGAACTCGTTTCCGATGGAGTTGGTGAATGCGATGATCTCGATACCGTAGGCTTCGCGCAGGTACTTCTCCGCTATCGCACCGGCTGCTACTCGTCCTGGGCACCATTAGCATTTGTACGGTGGTTGTGCCGGAATCCGCTCACCAATGGTCTCTCGTGCGCTACTTCGTCCACCACCTGAGCTAGCCTTCACACCGTACTTCTCCAGGTATGTCCAGTCGGCGTGGCTCGGTCTTGGGTACATGTCCATCGTCTTGTTGCCGTAGTCTTGCTTGCGCTGGTTCTCGTTCATGACCCTGACGCCAATCGGGGTGCCCAGTGTGATGCCGAACTCTGTGCCAGACTGGATCTCTACGCGGTCTTTCTCGTCGCGGGGGGTTGTGATGGCGGACTGGCCCGGTCGGCGGCGCGTCATCTGGGGTTGGATGTCATCCTCAGTCAGGGCCATGCCCGGCGGGCAACCGTCGATAATGGCGCCGACGGAAAGACAATGGGATTCGCCATAGCTATCGCAGGTCAGTAGACGTCGAGCAGCTATACGGCGCGTATGCATACGTGGTGACCCTGAAGTGCGTGCCAAAGGTAGACATTGTGGTTGTGGTGTTGGCGAGATTGTGGGGATTCGGCTCCCTTGTGAACGGCGACTAGTCAATGAGATGCGTGCTCGATGTATCCAAATGTCTGTGTATGTGTCCAAAGAGCGCCGGTTTAATTATTATGTCGTTGCAGGTCCAGACGCGTGCGCTAGAATAATCAACGTCAGAGTCACTCTAGGAGTTTTATTTATTTAGCGGGGCGCGGAGTACAGCCGTCTGGGAACCCGAGATCGGCCACCGATGGTAAGGCTGGTATGAACCAAACGACGGTACCCTCCCATCGGAGCCTCAACGCAATGTCGCACATTCTTCAAAGTTAACATTGTGGTGCGAGGAAAGTCATTCGTTCCGCGATTGTAGGGGTTGCTGATATGCAGACACCAAGATATCCCCACAGGCAATGCGAACGGGCATGGTTAGATCCCACTCCGTACGTGTACTTGAGGCATCTCAACTGCGTGATCAGATTCAGAATAAACATTGAACAAATGGCAAGTACGTGGGCTGTCTTCGCCATCGGGATGGTGACTGGATTATGTTGCCGTGAGGATGTGCTTGCAGGGTCAACGTTGTCGCCCAGACAGACGACCCCACACCACATGACATGCGCTGTTCTTGCGCTGTACAAAGCGTCCGGTCAAGGAAAGACTGGCGACCACATGTGCGTGGGCGAGTGGGCCGAACAACTCAAGACGATGCCACGCGCGCGGGCGACTGCGCCTGGAAACGGGTTCCATGGTTGAGGGCGCAGATGGCAGGAGTGGCAGTCACATCATGCTAGTATCAGGTAAGATGAAGGGGCGTCTAGTCGACACGGGCGCAGAGTAGTCGACGCCGACGAGCATGGCGAGAACAGAGTTTGGTCGTGTCTGAGGGATGGATGTCGAGTGGGTGGACTGGCAGGCACGAAGATCATCCGGGATTACTAGCGCGGACCCTGCCGTGACTTCTCAAGAAGTTTTGCTTGCAGCCAGCAACACGACGCCCTAAACACCCCTCTTTCCTCCATCACATCCCCCACCAAACCGCCCAACATGACTGAGTACGTCAAGGTCGAGAAGATCATCCCCAAGTTCCCGCCGCCGGCGTTCAGCGACATCGCCAAGGCCTCCAACGACGTATGTTTTGGCTCCCCGCGACGAGCTTCCCCATGGCGCCATTGCTAACGGAGCCGCCCTCCAGCTCATCAACAAGGACTTCTACCACACTGCCGCAGGTCCGCGACTCCAATTGATCCGCCTGCCCTCCCACTGACGCGCCCGCAGCTGCCCTTGAGGTCAAGCTCAAGGCCCCCAACGGTGTCAACTTCACCGCCAAGGGAACCTCTGCCCACGATGGCCCCGTCACTTCCTCGGTAAGCCCGCCATTGTACGCGGAAAAACGCCATGGCTAACGCGTCCACCAGCTCGAGGGCAAGAAGTCGCTTTCCAACGGTACGACAAACGATTCCTTTCTCCCCCGCTCCACGAGCCTCTCTATACCCCTTCATACGTCTTCCAACTTTCAATCTTATATATTCCACGTGAAGCAGCCTCCCGGCAAGGGGGGCTTTTCCGTGGCGGGCTACGGAATCAACCTACTGACAACGGACGACGCAGGCATCAGCATCACCCAGTCATGGAACACTGCCAACATGCTGGCCACCAAGGTCGAGCTCAACGACACCTTTGCCAGCGGCTTGAAGACTGAGATTCTCTCCAACTTCAACCCCGCTGCCGGCAACAAGGGCCAGAAGGTCAACCTTCACTTCAAGCAGCCTGCCTTCCACGGCCGCGCTTTCGTCGACTACTCGGCTGCTGGCGCCATTGGCACCACCGCTGATGCTGTCGTTAGCCACGAGGGCATGGTCGTTGGTGGTGAAGTCGGTTACGATGTGCAGAAGGCTGCCATCACCAAGTACTCCGCCGCTGTCGGATACACCACCCCTCTCTACAACGCTGCCGTGACTGCCACCAACTCCCTGAGCGTTTTCACCGCCTCGTACTACCAGCGCGTCAACCCCGCTGTCGAGGCCGGTGCCCGCGCTGTCTGGGACTCAAAGTCCGGCAACAACGTCGGTCTTGAGCTCGCCGCCAAGTACAAGCTTGACCCTGCGTCTTTCGCTAAGGTATGACGGTCCCTGACATGCACGAGGGCGTCTGTACTAATCCCATCCAGGCCAAGATCAACAACCTCGGCATTGCTTCCCTCGCCTACAACACCAAGGTCAACAGCGGTCTGACCTTCGGTATTGGTGGCTCTTTCGATACCCAGAAGCTGAACGAGGCCGGCCACAAGCTCGGCACCAGCTTCACCTTCGAGGGTTAAGCACCTCGAAAAGAGACATATTTGTGGAAAAGAGATGAAGGAGCTGGCTTTTAGATTCTTTTGGTTCTCGCGAAGCAGTATCATATCAATCTAGTGCTGATGAGCGAACGGAGCATACTCCTTGGGTATGCGCGACAGTTCGTCTCAATACAATTTACTGGAACTCCGGACCCTGATCTATGTGCTCGTAGTGATGATGTGTACTTACTGAATCTGTACCCTAGTAAAGACATGGAGCGTGCTGGCATTAGTTCATTCAAGGAAGTGGAAGGCAAGCGAACGCTGATCAATCGGGTATGGTATTTTTTTTACTTCTTGTTATTTCCGGTATATGCAGTGCCCAGTCATGGTCATGAAACAGTTTCTTCATGAACTCGAAACACATAGCTTCGTTCTACTTGTTGTCACATGTTAGTTTGAAATTGCAGATGCTTCATGTTTGACGTGTAATTGGAGCTTAGTAGTCGTCGCCGCGACTAAGAATCTCCTTGCAGTTGGGGCGAAGCACGAATGTCTGTCTTGCGTTAGCACACCTCTTTACAGTGTCGACGGATCAGTGGCTGCTTACGTGTTCACTCTGTGCTGTATAACTGCCCTTGATATCGCAGAGCGGGGGGTAGGCTTCGACAATACCCGCGCTGACCAGGTTGTTCAAGCCCAAGAGGTACTTGTCATGGCCCATGCGATCGAGATACCGCCTGCAGAAAGGCAGAGTGCCGAAGTTCTTGGTAATGGAGTTGAGGAGCGTCTTTGCTGACGAGACGCGGAGAGCGACTTTGGGTGCGTCGGCCTTTTTGGCGTAGTGAGATGTCTCCATCTGTGGTACTTGTTAGATCACAAGTAGGCTCAAGTACGCGAATGACTTACATCGTCCCGGACGTAACCCTTTCCTGTGCTGCCGAATGTTTCGATAGCAAATGTCTCGCCTTCTTCCATCTTTGTTTGGTCGCCGCCCTTGACGATCGGTACAGTCTTGCCGCCGTGGATGGTGTAGTGTCCGATGGAGTGTCCGTTCAGATTCCTTATGCACTTGACGGGCAGCATCTGTCCCTTGATTTCCACCTCGTAGCTCTCCATGACTTCCTGGATAGCAGCGCCAATGTCGCTCATGCGGACGTCGATACCGGCTTCCTTGATACCGGCGTTTGTCGCAGCCTTGCATGCGTTGATGAGATTGTCGTATACGGGGTCGAAGGTCAGGGTGAACGCGCTGTCCACAATACGTCCGTTGATGTGTACGCCGAAATCGACCTTCATGACATCTTCGTAGTTGATGACCATTTTGTTGCCCGCATTGGGGGTGTAATGCGCTGCACAGTGGTTTATGCTCAGACCAGTCGGGAACCCCATGCCCGCTATCTGCGCGTCACCATCCTCCAGACCCTGGTGTCCTGTCAAGGCGCGAACCGAGTCCTCGATACCCTCTGCGATCTCGGTGAGCGACATGCCCGGCTTGATCCAGTTCTGAGCCCATTGTCGAACTTGACGGTGGATCTCTGAGCCTTTGCGGTATTCGGTGAGGAAGTCGTTGTTCATGCGGTCGAGGTGGCGCTTCTCTTCATTGGTGGTCCGGTAGGCGTTCTCGTTGACGTATTCTTGGATTTCGCCCTCGGGGTACGAATCGTTGGGGAACAGCTCATCGATGCGAACTCGTGGCGGTGATGTCTGCACCTTGGGTCCTCCTGCGCCGGCTGCTGCGCCAGCCTTCTTCTTCTTTCTGGGCTTCCTCTTCTTCTTCTTTTTCGCAGCGCCTTCGCCAGTTTCTGGTGCTCCATCTTCGGCCTCGTTGTCATCGTCCGAGTCTTCGTGATCTGCGTCGCCTGTGGGCTTTTCGCTGTTCTCTGTTGTACCATTTGCTGGTTTGCCGTTGGTGTCGTCCACTGTACGCTGTTAGGCGATGTAACGCGAGAGGTAGCGTTTCCATACACTTCATGTTGGCGACTTCGTCCGCTACCTTGGCCGCCATGTTGGCCGTGTCGAGAGTGTAATAGTGCGTGTCTCGTGGACAATCTCGAAATTTACGAGCGTCTCGAAACGCCCCGCTAACTGACGCCGGTGGAGCGTCGCCCACTGACTGGGTTCTGAAGCTAGGCCATGCTTGTCTTAGCCTCGGGAGCTTGGCGATGACGTCCTCCATGCGCGCCGAACATTCACCCAGACTCATGTTTCTGCATGGGCACCCTCACCTCCGGATACTGGTAATGGGCAATGCCACCCCGCCCATCTAGCCTACTGCGATCAATCGCTCGAACGTCGAATTCTCGGTTGTCGCGCATATCCTCGCCATACATCTGTCACTCATGTCTCCGTCGCACGGGTCCTGCTCTTCCGCGGCGCATACAAGTCTCGCATTTCCATGCTACGGCCCCACGCTGCGCGGACGCCCTAGTCAATCATTACGAGACGCTACACCTCACTTCGACGGCGTCTGCTTCTGAGATCAAGCGCCAATTCTACACGCTCTCGAAGAAAAACCACCCGGACCATAACCGCAACGACCCCGAAGCTTCCACACGTTTCGTCGCAATAAGCGAAGCATACCACATTCTCTCTGTACCAGAGAAGCGCGCGCAATACGATGCACAACTAGAGCACTCGCAAAGACAATCACGCTGGGGAGCGAGCGGGAGTGAATATCCGCAAGGGAGTTACAGTTCCGCTGCATATGGCTCAAGGCCGGCCAGCGG